CCCACTCATCTCACACCACTCATCACACACCACTCATCTTACACCACTCATCCTACACAACTCATCACACACCACGCATCACACACCACTCTCCACACTCCACTCACCATACTCCACTCATCTTACACAAACCGTCACACACCACTCATCTCACACCACTCATCTCACACCACTCATCACACACCACTTACCACACACCACTCATCTCATTCATTTTTATCGTCCAGTATCTTTCCGTCCTCTTTTCTTATCAAACTTATCGTTGATAGTTCTTACAAGCTTAACATGTGGGGTTATCCGGTCCTTTTATTTTGAGTATGTTCTTTAGTGGGGTCTTTGTGGGGGATGAGGCTAGTTAGCCTGACTGAAGCGGCAGTTGTACAGCTTCAAAAATAGCTGTTTAAATTGCATCTCTCTTCCCCAATGGTTACAAGACAAACTACCAGGCACTTATTTTTTGGGTTTTGAGTCGGGCTTCACTTCTTTATTTGTGGTTGGGGTTAATTGCTCCTTTTGAGTTTGAGTCAGGGTCCTTCCTTCTGTCACAGAAACAAGAACAAAAATCCCTTGATCTAAACAAAAGATATTTCGTACAAAAATCTTCCTTGTTCCCTTGCGGCCACATCCTGACGTGGGCACAGCTTTCAAGTCTGGCCGTCTGGCCTGAACCTTGTGCAAGATGCGATCGGACCAAAAGGCCTCAGCGCGCTGTGAAGAAGAGCACGACCATCCTTGCTCGCATGAAGAGTATACGTCTCTTACTCTCAATAGTATTCCTGCGTTGTGCAGTTGCACAGGGCATGTATACTCAAATGAGCCTGTGGCTACCAATCTGCCGCTGATTGGAGATATGGTCACCTTGCATCTCGGTCATACTCCAGGCACCAAATTACAGTAAACAGTACAGTACATTGCGGTACTAGATGCGAGATGATGAGAGTAGTACTAGTATGATTGGGTAAGTTGCACATCGCAGTGTGGGTATGAGTTTGAGCTTTTGACAGGAAGCCCCAAGCGTGCTGGCTCTGCATTGGCTGCTTCCAACTGGAACAAACTGGAATTTGCAAAAAGTTTTGGAGACTTAGAATATTTGCAAGTCATCAAGGCGGAATAAACAGCTTCAAAAGAACATATTCATGTTTGTCCGCCTCTCAGCAAACGGCCTCTTTTGAACTCCAGGCCAAGTCTAGAAACGTTCGTGGGTGGCGCCACCAAGCGCCAAAACAAGCTGCATGTCGGAGGCTCTTTTCAAAAAGCTCAAGCTTTAAAGAGCAGCTTGCAGCTGACAACAAATGGAGCACACCATTTCCACAACTATTCATCGGACTTAACAGCAGCAAAAAGCGGACTGTGCGTCTGTTGCGCTACGCGCGCTGCTATGGAGTATGGCGCCAAACAGTTGGGAGAAGCAAGGCTGGACTGAACTTTGAACTGAATTTGGAAGCTGTTGCATGACATTTAAAGCTGCAGTTTCCTGCAAGTAACTTTCCAAAGTGATGAGGCTCTTTAAGCGCATCAACCAAAGGATTTCACTGATCTGGGCGCCTTCATGGTACGAAAATACGGCACCGCCGCCACGCAAGGCGCCCGGCGTCAAGCCGATCGACTTCGGCACACCTAAATGCGACAGCAACAGATCCCACCTTCGGCGGTATGTTCCTGGACTTGCAGGGTACAAAGTTTCCTGAGGCATAAGTTTGGTAAAAACCTTCTCTGGCATCTAAAGCAAGGTCATCACAGATTTTGGCGTGTTGCACTACGCCTTTCCCTCGATTTCGGGTTTTGGGTTTCCGGATGTTCAGGTAGGCCGCCGGCACGGAAGCTCCTGTTTCGCAAGGCAGCAGTAAATCAACTCTTTGCGCATCCAAAGGCTCTCGCGCACGCATCTTCCCATGGAAGGCCAGCAGAGAAACTGCTGCCCAGCGTCTCCAGCCCCAGTGCCAGGCCAAACAAATCATCGAATCGAAAACGAGCTTCGGCATCGGTTTCCTATGTTCAACCGGTTGAACTCGCTCCCACTTTGAAATCAAATCCCAAGCGTCTCCCAAAGGGATTGGGAAAGCCGGAAAATTACGCTGGTAGTAAACAACTAGGTGACGAAACAAATAGAGCGGTCCAGCATTGGCGTACAAAAATCTTCCAAAGGCTCGCAAAAATACGACACACAAATCTGGTCGAGCGGCTAAACTCTCGAAGACCTCTGTGCTAAGCTCATCTTGCAGCCAGGAAACAAACATTTGTCTAGCTCTCTGCTGTATCACTAATGTATGCGTCGTCAGCAGCTGCACTTCTTCCAAATCAACTGCCGGCCGTGCTCTCAAAGGTCGAGGACCTGGTTTCACCGCCTCGCCAATCCGGTCATTGCACTTGGCGCACGCCGCAATGTCGAGCCGCCTCCGTCTTGAAACAGGTAAGCGGTCATCACTGAGCTTCAGCGCCAGAGCCGTACAGAGTCTGGCAGGATAGCTTTCTGCAACTTTGGTCCAAGGACGTCCGTGCTGTTTTGAATACCCTTTCAAGACGATATGTCGGGCGGATGTCGGGCAGCTGCATAAAAGTTTCTCCCCTGCTAAACTGCTATTAGTAAAGAACCGAGTGCGTTTCCTCCAAGGAACTCCAAACACGCAGAAGTCTGTCAGAAAAAAGCCGCATTTAGGATCTTCCAGCAGTTTTTTCCATTCCGGTTGATCCCAAAGGAAGGACATCCAGGGATTCTCAATCAAAACAAGCATGTCTCTTTTCAAAGCAGCTAGTGTTAAGGAACCGAGCCATGCTGTAAATCGGTTTCCTTCTGATACTTTCTCTGCCATATGCCTCGAGGACACTCTCTGCTCCGAACTGGGGGCCTGACTGCTCTAGAAAAACTAGCACAAACTGGGCCCGCTGTCAAGATCTCGAAACACCCTGCACCAAGGAGCTGTTCCACTTGTTTTTGCACTGCTGTGGACAACAAATCCTGGGACCTGTCATGCAGAATGTCATATGTTAACACCCAAGAGCTTGTGTGTCGAGCTATCGCTTTTGCTAACCCTCTGCTGCCAGAAAACAAATCTAGTGTCCCTGAACTAGCAAGAGCGAGCCGCCGCTGAGCCCGGGTCCAGCCCCGAGGAAAACAAAAGAAGCTTTCAGGCAGCTCACGTAGCAACCCTGTAGCTTCCTCTCCAAGAGGCCTGTGCAAGCTCCTTGTCCAAAGCTGAGGCATGGAAGGCTCATTCGTCTTGGCTACAGCTGGGGCAGCTGAAGTTCCCTTGGTCTTTCCAAAAACTGTTCGTCGCCACTCGCGTCCCGATGTGAGCCAGTCTTCCGGGATCTCGCTAGCTTGCCATCGAGGTAAACGTGCGAGGGTGAGTTCATCCACTTGGGCAGCCGTCAAAAAGGCATCCAGCTGTTCATAAGACCCTGTCAACGCATCTTGCAACCATGTTGGTGGTGACTCGCTCGGGTTTCTAAGCTCTTTATCCCTCGTAGGGTCATCTGCGGGGTTATCAGCTGAAGGAACATATTGATGACCCGGATAGCAGTTGTACACCAACAATGAAGGCAAATGGCATTGTAACGCTGTGTTCAGCTGTTCTGATGATGATCGCCCTTTGATTACTGCTCCTAAAGACACTTGAGAATCAGTGCACACATTGCAACGAGATGACGGTTCTTCTTCTGCCTGTATGGTCTCAGCTTCGAGCAACCCTTGTAATTCACTAAGGTTGATGTGCTGTCGACGAGGTACTTTGTGACTAAACAAAGGCTGAAACTTTTGGGTCCGGACCAACGTAGTCCAGAGGGGATGGGCTCGTGCTGGTTCTTCGCCATCAGGCACCTCATCAGCAGGAGAGAGTGTCCCTTGTACTCGCAAGTAGCTCTTCCACGGAGAGAGGATGCGGCTCCAAGCAGCTCTGGTCATGGTGTGTCTGCCTAATTCTTGTGAGAACTGCTGAGGCAATTCCGCAACTACTCCAGCTACTTTGGTATCCGATGCATCCACAGCAAAGAGTCGAGTCGATGTCGGAGCAGTCAAATCAGATACATACAAAGGAGCTAGTGTGACAATATGCTGACAGCTTTGGGGGAATGGCAAACACTTCCTGATAGTCATGGGCATGAATCTCTGTAAAAATCAAGTCCAAGAGCAACATACATCGTTTCCGGCTCTGTAATATGGCTGTCCAAGCACCTGCAATGATCTCAAGAAGATTTCGCGAGGCAATGCCGATCTGAGCCACTTTTGCCGTGACAAACGATATAGGTAGGACTCGATCTAGTTGAGCACGAACCAACCCATGAATCCCATCGATGCTAATACCCCAAAACTGCGGATGGAGTTCCGCACAGAATCTCTTGTCTGGATTTGCCACTAGCCCCACCTGTTCGTATAGTTTGACCATGGCATCAGCCAACTGAGAGGAGACATACGATGATGACGAGGCTTTTGCGTCAATGGCCTCCAAGAAAATGAAATCGTCGACGACAAACCCGGCTGACCAGAATTGTCGGGGGATTCTGCCACGGAGGGTCAACAAATCCTTCACGGTGACGAGTCCATGCAACAACGCTAGTCGAACATGTGCGCTCTGACCAAATTCTACAGAATTCAGATCTCCCATCGCCATAGTCGCTAGCGCTGGTACGTACCTGGATGTCGCCCTGTCTGCCTTCTGGTAGGCGAACTTGAACCTTCTAGCCTCAGCACGAGTCAACGTCATAGCAATGGCATTTCGCTTTGCACGTGAAGGAGTGATGAGGTAGTAGTAGTAATAGTCTTTCAAATCCTCACCCGCTGCAACAATGATGTGCCCAGGTGGAACATGCAACCCCAAAATCGGAGCTAATGACCCCATGCTCTGTGTCCATTCATTCAGTCCTGGCTCTAGCAAGTTTGCTGGTCTGCTGTCGAAAATTAGTCGGTCTGCACTCAAATTTTTCATGTGAGCGAACAGCCCTGCCCGATGTCCCATGCGAACTTCTCGAGGTGAAAAAAGTGCCAAACGGTGAGTTCTATCAAGGGCAGCAAGCAGCGCGAGAAGTTCCTTTCGAGTGCCTCGCGCTTTGACTGCCGGAACCTCCTTGAAGAACTCCTCTGGTGGAGTGGCAAACTTGAGGGGGTCCTCGTACAATGATCGAGCTGGTTCTGCTAGGTAAGGCGACGGGTCAAAGCTGGGCCGCCCTTTGAAATTCAAGCGGTCCGCTTCTATCGGCTTTGCAAGCTGGATGTCTTCTACCATGGCTTCCCGTGCACCTGAAGGGATCGCCCCTCTCAAGGATCCCTTACCAGACCCAGTATGAGGGGACAAAGCAGCTGCTATTGCTTCCAACTTGTGAACCATGGCTTCCAAGCTCTCTACCTTACCCGCTGTCCGACCCATAGAAACTGCTGTGACATCTCTGAAAAGGAGCCACTCGCCAGATAAATGCTCCAGTCGCTCCACTATCGCCAGCTGCTCATCGTTCAAGCTAGCAAACGGATCACAACCTTTAGGCCAACATCGAGGTTTCCCCATATGCAACCAGTTGAGCACTAGTATCATCATGTTAGCGGCTCTATACCAAGCAGCTTGCTTAGAAGCTGGCTGAACTTCACCTCGGCAAAAGACCTTCGGGAAAGGCACTGGAATGGGCCACACTGGCCCAGGGTAGTGAAGGTTCTTCCCACCAATGCGGCCTTGGAGTGCTGAATAGCAAAAAGACTTCAGATCTCCACAATGTGAGTGAAGTATCCATCGAAGCAACGAATTCCACAAAGAAGAAGCGTTCACTGTAGATGCAGCTGCACCGGGCACTTTGGGGATTGTGCCCTTTGAAGTGCTCTTGACTGCGCCTTCATCTGCTGGAAACTCACCAACGACCTCCTCTGCATGCACATGCATTGCGGCACTGTTCACTTTCTCACCCAAAGACGGTGCTTCCGGCTGTAGAGAGACCCCATGATCACCCCCCGGACCGCATAAAGCAGTAGGAAAACCCTCAAAGGGAGCTCTCCCCCTCTGACATAAGAGTGCTCGGCACAGGGTGTGTCTCACAAGGTCCCACAGCATGGGTTCCGCCATCAGCAAGCGAGCCAGGCGTCATTGCGCCGCCTCTTTCTCCTTCCCATCCTTGGAATGCTCTCCCGATCCAGATCCTTTTCCGCCCCCTTTGCCTTTGCGCTTGGGAGACGGAGACTCGGTGGTCGAAACAGGATCCGGGCCGGGCCTCCGCGAGAGCTTCTTCTTCTTCTCGATGAGCTGGTCTATCTGGTTCAAGTGATGCAAGAACAGGTCCATCCACCTGGAGTCGATCAGCTTGGTGACAGGGGCTTCTACTTCCGTCGGCAACTGGTGAGTGGCAAACACTGAAAACGGAGGTGGATCCTCCAGTGACATCGCTGAAGCAACTGTCCATGCACCTTTGTCGATCGATAGCTGATCGCCTTGGCAGAGTAAAAGGCAAGCTCTGGCTCTGGCTTCCGCTATGCGATTGTCCCTCAAACAATCGAGCAGCCCTGCAACCCCCCCAAAGAAATGTCACAGGCGTCCGAAAGTTCTGAACCTTGGACCGTGCTTCTAGCCAACCCCGTGCGCTGACAGGAACACTTGCGGAACCAGGCAGCTGTGTCCTCAACATGAAATCCTGTTCCATGTTGCGCTCGATGTTGCGATAGATCTGCTCCGGGTCGGTTCGAAGAGTCTTCTTGAGCGCGCGCAACGCTGCAGCATTCTTTCGTGAAGCAGGCATGCCCGATCCGTCGGAGGACCCCAGAGAGCCAGTACCGTCTAGCAGGGCGTCTAGGGACGTCTCTTTGGCCTGTCGTCCAGCGAGCTGCTGTGCAATAGACGTCAGCTTTGTCACTGCCGCCACCATCGGATCCACCCCCGAGGATTCCCCCGGGAGCTCATCGCTCTTGCCAGCAAATTCCTTCTCCTCTTCGCTGTCAGATACTAAGCTCTTCTTGGCTGGTTGGCCAAGGGGCACATCTGGGAGCTTATAGGCTTTCCTTGACTTGCAACCTTTGACATAGCTTCTAAGTGGTGCAAAGGGATCCCAGCGGCAAGAGCTGCTTGAGTCACACTCGGATCCAGTCCCGGCAACGCGGGGACTGCTTGAGCGGGCTCGCGTCTCTGGTCGCGAGAGGCCTGAGCCTTAGCTACTGAGGGCCGAGCTGCTGCATCTGACTTCGCCAACAAGGCTGAGAGTTGACTTTGGATATCTGCGAGCGTATTCTCCAGAGCACCAACACGTCGATGCACTTCCCCGCCTTGTTCGGGGGGAATGGATTCAAAGCTGCTAGGTGCTGCTGCTCGAATGGGGAAAAAACGCTCAACGGCTGTCACCAAGTCAGCTGCTATAGGAAGCATCACTTCATCTTCATCAAACAAAAGGTCTAAAGGCGTCTCACTGGCATCAAATGAAATGCATTCTTCAAAGGAGGGTGCCAACAAACCAATCCACAATCTTGAATTCATTCGCTCGCCCTCTGGTGAACGAGCTGATGAAAAAGGAACTTCTATTGAAACTGCTTTCGACAAAAACGATTGAGGGAGTCTCCGACGGGCCACGGTGCGGTGCCAAGCATCAAATGGAACAGCTACCACTAGGCGGCCTGTCGCTTCTCCTACACAAATCAATGCACTCCGGATAGCTTCTCCGCTAGCAAAAGGGACTTCGCAAATGCCAACAGGATACTCTGGATCCGGCTCTCTTAATTCGCCGGTCAAGACAGTACACTGCCTCAGCATCTCTCCAACACTGAGGGGTTCACCATCCGGACCCTCTTCATCAGCCATCCTGCCTAGGTCGAAGGTGGCCAGTCAAGGCCGGCCTGAAGCACAGCAAGCTGTGCCTCCCAAAGTGTAAGGAAGCCAGCGAAAATGGATTCCCCCAAGAAATCGCCCTCCTTCACCAAGTCACGAATGGAGACCCACGAATGGTGCACACTCACTGGATTGTGAAGGGTACCTCGGACGTCTCTGACACACACGTAGACCCGGGATTGGAGGTTCAAACGATCACGACCTGAACCGGTGCGGTTCACCCCGTCAAGACAGCGGCGAAAGTAATCCCCCACTCCACGGGCAACCTCACGGCGAAACTCCTCGGACACCTGGCTCGCTCGAGTCCTGCCAGTATATGCAAGAGGGAGCTGAGCGGCTTGTTGCTTGTCTTGGGTGCGGTCAGCCGAAGGTGCACTCTCGCTCTCGGCGGTCTGGTGATAGACCGGACCAAGCGAGGGCTGCGAGCTTTCAGGCCGAGAGGCGGGAGCGGCAATCAAGTTCTCGAGTGCAGCAACCCTTCCCCGAAGTATATCTAACTCTCTTCGTAAAGAAAGGACTTCTTCCGAAGGGGAAAACTCATGCGATCCTAGCCCGAGCGGTATGCCAGTTCAGGGCCCAGAAAGACCTCTGCCTCAAATTTAAAGACCACTGAAGACGGATCAATATCAGGGCCTCCAAAATCTGACCCAACAACAAGCCCAGCAGCAATCCAATCAAAAGCGAAGGCCAATGCAGGGTTACCTCGTCAGGTATACAGGGGAAAAGGCAGAGGCGGCTCCCGCAGCAAAGTAGAAACGAAAGCAGCCGCGAGCCCTCCTTGAGCAGCCGCGGAGCGCGTAAGGCTCATGCAGGTTCGAGCCGATGAAGAGCTTTGCGGCGAAAAAACATGAGGGTCATTAAAAAAAGAGGCAAGCTCATGCACCTCCGTCTCTCCTTCTCCAAGAAGAGTAATCTCTCCTCCCAAGGAAGGCCTGACTCTATGATGGACAGTGAAAAATTAACCAATCTTGAAAATGGATGCCCTCGAAGGCCAAAAGTGCAATCATCACCTCACGCATTTTAGCTGCTTAATTTTGCTTGAGTTTGCCTCCAGGAATCGTTGAGATACACTAGCAGCCTGGGGCGATCGATGAACTTCTCCTTTCTGAACCACACAAAGAATTGCGTTTGTGGACAATGTTTACCATAAATGGGGCCAAGGCGACAGTTTCCGATTGAATGGCTTTTCTGCCACTCCAACCTGGCAAAGGCTGAGAAATGTTGAGAACAGCGGGCCTCGAAATTGCTTCGCTTCAAAACATGCTGCTGGACATCAAGGTGGGCATCAAAGGATGCACCATTTCCGACGCTCATGTTCAACCTAGATATTCTTTGGAAACAGTACATCCAGCGGGTCACATTCAATCTCATCACGCTAGCAAGCTTGAGACACTTGCTTGTTCCCAATGAACTTGTCAGACAAGTCCATCTTTGGAAAAGCCAGGTTTACCTCATCCAAACACAGAGGGTCCACAACGTCTCAGGCAGGCTTGAGCACAAGCTGCCTTTAAAGACAGCATTGCTTTTCTCGTCAAGTCACTCGACGGGTAAGCTCTTGTGTCAAGACCACAGTGTAGTGCCACATGCCTCACTTTGCTTATCCAGCATTGTTTGCGTGCAGTTGCATTCGGCCCTTAAAATCTGAGTTTGTGGGAATCATGTTTGTGGCTTGTCAATGAGCCTGTCCAAATTTGCATTGCACAGCTGCGCCCCTGACGTGGACACAAAAGATATCTGTCCCTGGTGACCTCTGTTGCGTAAACGTTCTTCTTGTCGTAGTACACGGCTAAGTCGGCAGGTGAGGTGCAAACAATTTGATACAAGTTGTAACAGCTGGAAAGTTTGTTTGGAGCAATCGGGTAAGTGTGTGAACGCTTGAGGCTGCGACTGCCACCAAGAACAGATTGAGACTTGATGAAGTGCCCTTGATGCCACAAGTCTTCTACTTCTTTGCCTGCAACAGTGCAACAGGCCCGAGAAACAACGTCATCTTTGCAATGAACCTTTCCTCACCACCCCAATCCGCCCCTGCTTCTCTAAGTCTCGCACGCAAAGCACGGCAAAGGCTAGGAGGGAGACTTGGCCCATTAGAGGCCCACCAGCCTTACACTAAAATATTGAACACATGTTTTACAATGTTACGGTATTGCAAAGTTGGCCATGAGTACAATTACACACAGTTACTGTATATGTACTTGGACAAGCTCAGTATAACTAGGCTGATAGTCAACCTATTCCGCTCCTCAAGGCCATGGTGGCAAGAAAACCCTGGCTGGCAAACTGCAACAAGCTAAAGCCGCATGGGGCGACTTTGAGGATCAAACACCAGAGCAAATCCAGCACCGAACAATCGGCTGAACTTGATGAGCAATGAAATAAGCAAACCCTTACTACATTGTAGTCCTGAACTCATCTTGACGAGCCACCATGATCACGAAGGCCCGCGATCAACTCGTCGCACCACTGATCAATGTAGCTCAAAACCTGTTAGCAAGTCGGCAGTAAAGCTGCATTGTTAAATCCAAAGGGCTGCATGTGCTGCCTCTTGCTTGAACTTTGCAACCTCAATCTCAGAAGTGGCAAAGACCTCCAAAAATCTCAGAATTGATACTTTTGCCACGTTGCCCCGCCCTTCCTCACACTTGCCAAGATATTCTCACATATTGCTAATTGCATGCCATGGATGCTGCCTCTTTTACAGGTTTGGTGGTGGTCGTTTTCCTGTCTCGCGACGCACCTCAAAGTCACAGGAAAGCTGTCGAAGATGGAGATGCTCAGATTTGTAAAGCTTCAACAATACCGCCTCCAAATCCTTTGCTTTGGCAGATGACCTGGCGAGATCTCCTGTCAGCCAAGGAATTGCATGGCAAAGCCAAAGTCTATTCCAGGTCCATGTCCTGAAAGCCATGACAAAGCAAGCAGCGGTCAGAGAGGTCTTGTATTGCATACCTGCCACCCGTTGGAAGCCTTCCGGCTTTCCTTTATGAGAAGGCTTCAAATTACAACCGGTCTCACCACAGAACTTGGAGACAGCATCGCAGCAGTCAGACCTTGAAAGAATAGCGCTGTGGTGCGTATAATGAAACTTAAGGCCGAGGGTAGGTGACGAAAGCTAGCAGGGATGCATCCGTGTCAGTGGAGGCGAAGCATACAGCGCCGTCCACCAGTGCTCATGAGGTAAAACGTTGTGAACATGTAAGACACACGAATAGCAATGACACAGCCAACCTTAGCTTGTGAACCAGTTGAATCTGTTGCATCGTATCCCAAAACCTCCACGGAGGAGTTGAACCGAAGTGGATGCCATAAGAGGTGTCCAAGAGGTGTCCCAGAGGCGTCCCAGGGGGGAGTTGAACCCGCGGGGGGCCCCTCTACATATGAAGTTTTCACGTGATGCGGCGATCTCGAGGATTCCAGCCCCTCACTTGCTAAAGCAAGGACAACTCCAGCTAGCTGGTGCTAGCTTTCGTGATCAAACATTGCTTGTGGCTACATGCTGGGCTGCTGGCCGGCAGACTTTCACCACTGGGTTGGCAGAACATGCCAACCCAGCGCAGCCCTCAAGAAGCTGTACGTAAGTCTAGGTCTCACTCTTAGCAAACTGTTGATCCACACAGCAGACAGCAGGCCTGTGAAGGAGCTGCTTGCAAAACGAAGGCGCCCGCCATCATGTTTGCCAGCTTTCGATCAGCTATGCTCTCATCTGAACAATACAACAACAATACATGGGTTGCAACTTGCAACCTTCCAACTTTAGAGGTTCAGGCACAAACAGTGATGCATGTATTGGGATCCTCGCAGTCAGCGAGGCATCATTGCACAAGAACTGTTCTGTTCTTCACTGATTAGTACTAGCCAGCAAGCTTCGCAGGAAAACTTGGTTCGACTGGAAGAAAACGTGCATCATTGACAGCTGGTTTTGGTGGAGTATGATTTGATGGTGTTGAAGTATTGACGCGATGAATTTGCTGCTCTCTGGAGGCTGATTGAATGCTCCATGTACTCTAGTTCGCCTTTGCGAGTGGAGTACTTGCAGCAGATGCTGCTCTCCGGACAAACAGTCTGCACACTGCGCCCAAAGCTTCTCTGAAGACTCTCAATTCCATCCATTCACAATCTAAATCTAAATGGTCAAAAAATACTTGAACCCAATAGTCATAGAGACTCCAGAGAAAAGTGTGATAGGCACCTGGCATAAGCAATGCTAGGCAATGCAACACAATATTGCTGTTGCTAGGCAATGCTAGGCCCACTGGGCCATGCTTCACATCCTCTGTGTACACAGGGCGACCTCATCCGCAGCTTGGCGAGTTCACGCAATCAATCAAATAATCCAATCAGAGTCATCGAGTCCGAAAGAACAATAACCTCTGACCTGCAGCTTGGCTTGTCCGAGCCGTACAAGGTACAGCGCATTAGTACCTTTCAGCCGGTGAACGACCGGCATGAAGTAGAATGCAAAAATGATAGTGAATACATATGAATACATCAAATTTGTAGCAAGATGTAGCAAGTAGAAATGTCCAAATACATGTTTTTTGAAATGTGCTGTCTACTCAGTCCTCTCACCCCGCTGTGTAGAGGTTCCAAACACAGAGTCAGACTGACATTGCTGCCAGCGGATGGACCAAATGATGCCCTAGTACAAGGGCTTCCCATACGATGCTCTCACTCTTGATTGCTTGCCTGCTAAGCAATTTTCTCCAGGTTGAACGCCAACCCCGGCATCAAAAATACTGTTTCTACATGTTTCTACGGGGCACTTCACTGCCCTGGTCTTCTGCCGCACATCTGCCCCACCATGGCCTCACGATGAATAGCTGCTTCGACATCTCACTGTGGTACTTGGTGCATCCCTGGGCTTCCATCTACATATGTATATATACCTGAGAAGGGAGGGGACGAAAGCCAGCCTCTGGGTTAGGGGGGTGCCCTTAGAGCAAGCCTGGCGTTTGCTCTCGGTTTGTTACTCATGTCTTGTAGATGGACTCAAAGACTTGGCGTGCAAGATGAAGTGATTGGGTAACATCGGGCAAAGAGTACTTTCATGGAGTGAAGTTGACATCGCAGCCACCCTGATAGGGGTAGAAACAGGAAGTCGAATACATCGGTTTGGGGGGGTGCCCTTTTTCGTCCCTGTTCAGGGGCGCTTTGGAGGTGAAAAAGGATGAAAAAGGGCACGCTTAAGGAAGTGAGGGGTGCTTGCCTGCTGTGTGTTGCGAATCAGTGAGCAAAGATGTAGCTGGAAGTGGTGAAGTTGATATTGCAGCCACTTGAGCGTGCAAGATGAAGTGATTGGCTAACATCGGGCAAAGAATACTTTATGGGGTGAAGTTGACATCACAGCCACCCTGATAGGGGTAGAAACAGGAAGTAGAATACATCGGTTTGGGGGGGGGTGCCCTTTTTCGTCCTGGTTCAGGGGCGACGGGGGTCACACTGTGCACCCAAGTGGGACGGCACAGCAGCAGCACACTTTGACAATGGGTTTGCAGTTAACTCTATTCCCAGGTCAAAAAAGGTGATGGAACGGAAAGGTGGCAAAGTCCGCGATCAACAGAATGTTGAACAAATGTTCCACAAACGCTCAAGCGAAAGCGGCGATCAGCAGCTGCAATGCTGCTGAAGAGTACTGTTTGTGGGGTGGTATCATGTGGTATCACGCAAAACGACCATGGAACCAAAAGAGGAAGAGTGGAGTCACAGCGTAATCAAAAGTTCCGGTTCCGGTTGCAGGCATTCCCTTCCGGCTGAATCCCATAGCTTCGTTGGCATGGCTAGGGCAACAGCTACCATGCCCCCTGCAATTGCGTGGTGGCATGTGAAGACTCTTAGAAACAGAGGGGCACACACACTCTGACATTGGTTTTCAGTTAACTCAGTTCCCAGGTCGAAAAAGGTGATGGAACGGAAAGGTGGCAAAGTCCGTGATCAACTGAATGTTGAACAACGTTTCAAAAGCGCTCAAGCGAAACCGGTCAGCAGCTGCAATGCGGAGGGAAAACCTGTTTGTGGGAAAGTCGCACGCGAAAACCATGAAAACAAAACGCAGCGAAGGGTGGACCATTCACTGCCAATTGCAAGCGTCTTCGTTGGCAGGAGACTTGCAATGGCACTCCTGCCCCCTGCATGAAGGTGAAAGAAAGAAAAGGAACTCTTAGTTACAGAGGTTGACACACACACGAAGCCGGTTCCGGCGCTAGTGGAAAAATGGCTGCTGTTTTCTGTGGCTTCAAAAATCGCTCGCAGTCTCTTGCTGCGTGTCCCTTCAGGACGTACAGGTTGAAAGTGGCCTTGAAACTGAACACTGGCAGCGAAAGAAGTCGGAATCCATCAAATGAGATCACAAGTGGAAAAAATCGTGGGCCCGACGGCATCGTGTTTTGAGAATCCAGTAGTGAAACCGATTCAGCTAAGAGAATTCAAAGCATGGTGGAAACGGTGGAATCAGTTACACGAATTCCGGAGTGAAAACGGCGCCTCCTTGCGGAGGATCACACCCAGCACCCAAGTGGGACGACTGAGCGAGTCACACTCTGACATTGGTTTTCAGCTAACTCAGTTCCCAGGTCGAAAAAGGTGATGGAACGGAAAGGTGGCAAAGTCCGCGATTCACTGAATGTTGAACAAATGTTTCAAAAGCGCTCAAGCGAAAGCAGTCAGCAGCTGCAATGCGGAGGGAAAACCTGTTCGGGGGAAAGTAGCGTGCAAAAACCATGAAAACAAAGCGCAGCGAAGGGTGGACCATTGGGTCAGTGTGTTCGATGCAGGTACGCCAGACTGATCAGGTCTGGTTTCACTGCCAATTGCAAGCGTCTTCGTTGGCAGGAGACTTGCAATGGCACTCCTGCCCCCTGCATGAAGGTGAAAGAAAGAAAAGGAACTCTTAGTTACAGAGGTTGACACACACACTCTGACATTGGTTTGCTGTTAACTCAATTCCCAGGTCAAAAATGGTGAGGGAACGGCAAGGTGGAGAGTCCGCAAATGTGTAGATGTTTGAACAAAAGAGTTTCTCACTTGACTGCGGTGCTGCAAAAACCGCGGCGGCTGCAAGTGGCTGAAGGAAACCTGTTTTGGGGGAAGTAGCATGAAGGACAATGAACCAAGGCGTGGAAAGTGGCGTCGCAGCTTGAAAACAGTTCTCGTTGCAGGTACAGGAATGTGCGTCCACATTCCCTTCCGGCTGAATCCCATAGCTTCGTTGGCATGGCTAGGGAAACAGCTGCCATGCCCCCTGCTTCGAAGGAAGGTCGCACCCTTTTTGACACACACACGGTGCCGCTTGGCGGCGCTTGCGTGAGAAACCTGAATAGATACCTAAAAAGCCTTAGAAACAAAAGAAAGAAAGACAGAAAGAGCAGCGCTAAGAGGGCAAGAGAGAACGATAGGTGTAGAAAAATGAAAAAATGAATACTTAGCCCTTGACTGGGGTAGGGAAACGAGCCTCAAGAGCCACCTAAAAAGCCTGAGAGAAAGCCCAACAAACGACGAAAAGCGCAAGAAGGGAAAGGGGGGGCAGGGAGGGGGTGTATGTCCATGTGTGTGTGTACGTGTGTGTGTCTGAATACCTAGCACTCTAGAATTACTGAATACTTAGACGAAGTGAATTAGGTGCACTAGTTAGGGAGCGGGACTTTGGTCTTACACTGCCCGGGTAGAGTAGACTAGAAAAGGGACAACAGAGGGAAAGGCACCGACACACAAGTGTGTCGAGTACCATTTCCCCATGTTACCCTAATTAGGTAGGGAGTAGAACACAGTTGGGGGGGGGTCGGGAGACCTGCCTCAAGTGGTGTGAATGCCGTTTTTAAGCCCGGCGGCTGTCAAATTCGTTTTAAAGCCCGACGGCTGTTGGATCAGTTAATTCAGTTATAGAAGTGGAGAAAGTGGAATCAGTTATCAAAAATGGAAACGATGATTTCCCGAATGGCTTCAGCGCCCCAGTGAAGGGATCACACCCAGCACCCAAGTGGGACGGCTGAGCGGCTCACACTCTGACATTGGTTTGCCGTTTACTCAATTCACAGGTCAAAAATGGTGAGGGAACGGCAAGGTGGAGAGTCCGCAAATGTGTAGATGTTTGAACAAAAGTGTTTCTCACTTGACTGCGGTGCTGCAAAGCCCGCGGCGGCTGCAAGTGGCTGAAGGAAACCTGTTTTGGGGGAAGTAGCATGAAGGACAATGAACCAAGGCGTGGAAAGTGGCGTCACAGCTTGAAAACAGTTCTCGTTGCAGGTACAGGAATGTGCGTCCACATTCCCTTCCGGCTGAATCCCATAGCTTCGTTGGCATGGCTAGGGAAACAGCTGCCATGCCCCCTGCTTCGAAGGAAGGTCGCACCCTTTGGAACAGTGGTTGACACACTTAGGATAGGGTGTACTGAACTGAAAGCGGTGCCACACGCCAGCCTAGGTAAAACCACCTAAGATTCCAGGTAGTGGGTTAGAGGCCTCCAAACCTATGAACACGAAGGCGAGCGACGACGACAGGGTGACGACGGGTCGTGCAAGTCAGCGGAGCTCCAAAGGTCCAAACTCTCAAGGAAATTCACCGCTGCATTAGACGCTTACTGCAAAACACCGAAGTGGAACAGCTTGTCCATTAAGTAGGTTCCTCTCCAAGCAGGTACGTCAATCCAGCGTCCCGGATTGATTTCACCAGCACACATCCAGTGTCTTCGTTGGTGCAAGACTGGGTGGGCTGCTT